AGAAGAAGAAGAAGAAGAAGAAGGAGGAGAAGAAGGAGAAGAAGAAGAAGAAGAAGAAGAAGGAGAAGAAGAAGGAGAAGAAGAAGAAGAAGAAGAAGAAGAAGAAGAAGAAGAAGAAGAAGAAGAAGGAGAAGAAGAAGGAGAAGAAGAAGAAGAAGGAGAAGGAGAAGAAGAAGAAGAAGAAGAAGAAGAAGAAGCGCACTCGCAGACGCAAAAGAATCGGCAGTGAATTCAACATGGTATTAGTTAAGCATATTAGAAGCATCTATAATTAAGTTAATCCAAAAATCGATATATTTATCAACAGGTAATAAAAAATTATATTAGCAGTTTAAAAAATAAAAAAAACAAAGAATATTTTATAGAATGAGGGGCAACTCGCAAGAAGTCGTGGATCCACGGCGATTGTGGCGCTCCATGCGTATAATCGGTGAACTAATTTTGTTTTTTTTGTACCTATATACGTAGGCACGCATATGTAGCTCACTATAATAATAGCTAATATGTGAGAATCTAATTAATAAAGTTAAAATTGACAATCAATGTTCAAAAATAATATACCCACTTAGATGGTTATTAATATAGTGAGCCGATATCAAGTAGCCTTCTATGAAATACCTCTATTAAAATGATCCTATTATTATTGGGGAAATAAAAACAATTTTTTTATATTTTTGTACATTATTTATTATATTTCTACATAACTTAATTTTAAATTTATGCAAGTACACATACATCAAAGACTTTCAAGATATCAGCTCAATATTGTAATTTTTAATGTATTATATATTTTTGAAAATTACATTTACGGTAATAAATAGTATAGCACGGTCACAAAAGAATGCATACCCTGTAAAAAAAACCAAAACTTAAAATAATTTCAGTCACATGCAAGCTGGCAACTCGCAATTTGTAGTTATAATATTTTATAAGTAGCAAGTTTAAACACTCTGAACATATTCTCTTACTTACAACATAGGCAAGCACATTTTTCTTTACAAAAAAAAGTTACAAATAAAAAATCATATTTTTTATATATACACATATGGACCCACCTACTAATTTCAGACACATCAGTTTATAGCTCTATAATTCCAGTGATTGACATACATTTTCTAAACATCACTGACGTCCTTTTTCATGAAAACACATTTTAATTAAAAACAAAATGAATGAAACAACATTTAACTAAGAATACAAGAACAGAAATAGAAATACGAAAAAACGTAGCGGTTTGATGACACATGAATGTCTCGATGACACAAATGATGTTTCTTCTTAGCCATGAGATGAAATGATGTTTACCAAGATTTAAAAGGTGGCGCCACTTTCCATACAAATCGTCCTTCTTCTAAGTTTCCATCCCCTGATATGACCTATCAAATAAACAAACTGGAACAAATAAGCATGTATCAAAGTTGGGGTATTTTGTTGGTGAACTAAACAATAATGGTATTATTACGAAAGCAATGAGCATTATGTTGCGTTCTTAAAATATGTTCGTTTTAGTCAGAAGATTAAATTAAAGTTGCAATTAACGAAATGGTTTTATTTTTCCTAAATTGTTTTCCCTCGAATAATACTTTCAAACGTCAAAAAGGAAACTGACAGATTGATTTTTTTAGGTTGGTAGCAACGTAGACTTGTTCATAATATTGCTAGCATTGAAAATGACAATTTTTATTCTCCGTTTGTGTATCTAATTAGTCAAAAGTCCCGTCTCTTATTTTATATACTCTTTGGGGTGAAGCAACAAAGTCATAGAAACGTTAGCACGACACTAGATGTCGTTACAAAATCTGCCAGTTACTGGCTGATTTTGGTCACTAACAACTTTGCTGAAATTTCAAAATTTCCCATAAAACCCGAAGGAAGAAGACATTTTGCCGGTGAGTTTTTACTGTCGAAAAATATGCACTCCTATCAGTTTCTCAGCAGTGAAAACTCACGTTATATGGCAATAAAACACTTATGTAATAACCAAATTCTTTATTAGTATTTTTATAAAATAAGCGGATGACTAATTTCTAATTTATAGATATTGATTGAACAGAATATAATTCAAGTATTTTTGTAATATAATATTATCACAATCTGCATACAAACGTAATAACATGAGCCCATTTAAATTATGCATTGTTAAATCTTATAGACAAGAAAAGAAGTCCTTAATTTGTACTTAACATTGAAAAAAAGATAATTTTAGACAATATTATTTTAATAATTAAATTGGAAAATTTAACAATGCGAATTGGACTAAAGAAATCTTTGGTTAGGAGCCTTTTTCTTAAATATTTGGTCCAAGATATTTCAAAACTTCATAGTATTGCCTTAAATTGCTTACTAATAATAATATCGTAATATTTATATTCCTTAAACATGCTTAATTAACAATCTATATATTAAATATATTCTCTAATAAGTTATTAAATAACAAACAACAATTGTATAAAAATAACATTAGTCTGAGTAACAACTAGGATATAAAGCGTCTTCCTCCTGACATCATGAGTAGATCGTCATCAGGATAACCTGGAAAATATATAAAAAATAAAACACGTTTTAGATTTATATTGCCTTCTCTTTCCCGCGCACTAGTACAAAAAATGTTACGGTATCACAGATTGCTTACGTCATCTCGATATCACACACGGTTGACACGACAAAATGTCAATGGCAACACCAACTACTTTCCTCAATGTAGTAATTTATAATAAAGTCTCACGAAAATTTAAGTAATATTTAAATTGCTCAAAATCTAAACAATAGTTGGTAACTTCCTATTACATATTCCACTTTATGGTCATTTTGCCCACATGCATGTGGCATCTTATTATTAGGTGTACTCACTTCTTCCAAGGAAAGGGGATTTGACTTGAGTTTAGCGTCGAGAGTGCGGTACCGTTCTGTAATAGGAAACAAAACTATTAAAAGTCATAGCAAAAATGATAAACTGTAAAGTCTTACTCATAATTACAAGTAAATCTTTGCAAGCGACTCTTCGAAAAATACATATTTGCATGTACGTATGTATAGTCAAACGAGGGTATCTGAAGTGGTGAGAGGCGCTGCCATCGCCGCTGGTTCTCTCAGAATATATATAAAATGTACTCAGATATGACGGTTACAGTACAAAGTGGATCTTGTAAAATTTTTTGACATTCGATGGGGGCGCTAGTGAGTTGTTATAACTTAGTTTCACTTATGGCCACCGGGTCAGTGGCCCTGTAATGAGTAGGTATGTAGGTACCGTGAGCCAGATGCAGCCTGGCGAGCGCCAGCAGACAGGCCTCCGGGGTGAGCGTGGCGCGGCGCGCGAAGCGCAGCACGAGGCACTCGAGCACCTTGTTGCTGGCGCTGACGCCCGCCGCCCACAGCAGCGCGCGCAGCCGGTACGAGGAGACGCCGCGCCCGCAGCGCGCGTACCGCCCCACCGCCGCGCGCCACAGACCCACCAGCCGCACCAGCGCCGGCACCTCCTCCGCCCGCACCCTGCCCCCCGCAGCCGCGTCCCGCAGCGCCACCAGCGCGCGGCACACCTCCAGCGACCCGCACCACCGCCGCACCGCGCTCCGCACTGCGCCCCGCACCGCCCACACGTCCACCTGCACACACACACCAGCCTCAGTCCCCTGCACCACACCGCCCACACGTCCACCTGCACACAAACACCGCCCACACGTCCACCTGCACACACACACCGCCCACACGTCCACCTGCACACACACACCGCCCACACGTCCACCTGCACAAACACATACACCACGCAATCATACAGCCGCCCGACATACCTCGTCCGATCCCTGCTTCTCAACTATTTTGGCAATGCTGTTCTGCACTTGTGGCTGGAAAAATAAAAACCAAACATTAATTAATGGAAAATGACTAACTTTAACACAAAAAAATGTAAATAAGAAAAATAATATACCGGTATGGGAGTGTCGTCGCGACTCTCCGTGTTGAAGTCTCGGATGATAATGTTGTCGTCGTTCACCTCCCTAAGAAATGTCATCAAAAATGTTTTATATTTGTCAATTAATTTAAGGGATGCAGAGAAGCGAGCGAGAAGGGAAGAGAAGCGCACCAGACGTCGGCGCGGCGGTCGCAGAGCACGCGCAGCAGGAAGGCGCCCTCGACGTGCGGGCGCCCCGCGTGCGGCACCACCAGGTAGTGCCCCGGCGCCAGCAGCACGAACGCCGCCACCTCGCGCGCGCGTCCCACGTGTCCCGCCTCCAGCAGCCGCTGCGCACATCATCCGCTGCTGTACATACGTACACGTCACCGCACCTCACTACCACCCACGAACACGACTCACGTAGTCCTTGAAGGCGTCCTCGTCGGCGCAGAGAGCGGCGCGCCGCGCGGCCGCGTCCGCCGTCAGCTCGAACAGCGCGAACCCGACCGGCGGCAAACGCGCGGAGCGGCGCGGCTCGTACTGCTGCGCCACCGCCAGCACCAGGTGCGCGGCGGCGGGCGGCGGCACCAGCACGCGGAACTGCGGGTTGGCGGGCGCGGTGCGCGCACCCGGCGGACCCCCCGCGCTGCACCCGGCGCGCCACCGCCGCCGCGCCAGCGCCGCGCGCCACGCCCGCCGCCCGCGCAGCGCCGGCTCCCGCACCCACTCGTCCGGGCCCAGGTGCACCAGCTCCAGCGTGCCGAACGCGCGCGCCAGCTCCGAGAACGGCATCCTGTGCGGTTTTCATTAATCATTAGTTATTACGTTAAAAAGTATTGTGTACATATAAGGTTGTTTCTTTGTGTATGTACACACCAGAAGTGTCCGGGCTGCGCGGCGGTGTCAGCGAGCAGGTCGCGGTCTGCGGCGGGCAGCGCGCGCCACTGCGGCCCGCCGCGCGCCCAGGCCCCGCGCCACTCGCCGCGGCCGGCGGGCGCGCGCAGCCGCACCAGCGCGCCCGAGCACTCCTCCCCCTCCGGCACCTCGCCCGCACCCCGCACCGACCCCGCCTCGCTCCGCACGCGCGCTAGCCCGGTCACGCAGTACGGCTGCCCGGGTATCAGACCGTTGCGCATACGACTCCCGCTGATACCTTTCTCCTGGTGGTGAAATAGCAAGTTACATTTCGCCATTTCACTGAAATAAGGAACATATTCGAGAAAGTGGTAGTAGTCGTGTATGTACCGGGTGCGGCGTGAGCACGAGCAGGGTGGCGCGCGGCACGGCGGAGTTGAGCACGCGCAGCAGCAGGGCGGGCGGCTGTCGCGGGGGGGCGAAGCTCTGCACCACGCCGCCGCACAGGTCCTGCAGCGCGCGCGCACATGTGCCCTCGCGCAGGGACATGTAGCTGCCGTACAGTCTACACAACATGTAGATAAACTTGTGAACTTGTGTTGCTAAAAAAAGAACGCTGCCCAAACACTATTGCAAAAAGTTAAAAGCTCACTGTTGAGTTCACATTTGTATATTCGATCTTTTTGGTAGAGAAGGCAATTGCAAACTACATTTTTCCAAAGTGGTGGCATACTGGCAACTGAGAACCTTTGTCTTTTTAATTATGGAAAAACCTCGAGGGAGAATTGAGAAATGCGCGGGAAATAAAAGTCGTGTTTTTAGTGCTTGCGGATTGTACCGCAGTTAGTGTTAAGGATAACAACATCTCACTTGGCGTAAGCTTTTTCCAGCAGCGGCAGAGTGTAGTCGTGCTGCAGCGCACTGCGGCTGGTGATGAGACGGCCGCGACGTGTCGGCAGCCGGTCGTCAACCGTCACCCAGCGCCATGAGCCCCACACCCAGAACTGGAACCTGTATTTATATCATACAAACACATGCTCAAGTCTCTCGTTTATTTTGAACACCACATTAAAGGTGTGATCTTTTTTTCTTCTAAACCCTTCTTAAGAATTACTAAGTATTCAAAATGACAATTCCCTTCTAACTTTTCTAGTATTCTTTATAAGATCAGGCAATTAGTAATAATTTAAAAATATAAATATACTAATTACGCATACTTATATTTAATAATAAATTGCGAAACCTATAATATATGAGTCAGTAAATCGTGAAGTTGTCAAAACATTATAAAGCGTTTCAAAACAAACAGAGCGGAGTCATGCATTTTGAAATACAACGCAAATATGAAAGGCTCGTTATTTGTAAAAAATAAGCTACTATAATAAGATAACTTTCTTTTATATACATTGACAATTATACATACAAACAGACATATATTTCCAGTACCAGGTTTTACCTCGGTCAAAGAATTAGTTTAGCTGTACAGAGGGGGAACGCTGCCAGTATCTTCGGGACCTTGCCTAAAGGGACTCCTTTTATTAACATATTTTAGTTAATTATTCGGTTTTTTTTTAATTTTATTTCCAGTATTCATGTGATGAAATTAAATTATTGTTTCTAACTTAAGGGCCTAACATGAATAGTTACGACACATATCGATATCGAAATATGTCGAAATTTGTACGAGATCTTTTGGTGTGTTTACGTCCGGTAGGAATTAAATTTTAATATAAATTTTATCGAAGACGTTCCGAAAACGTTCTCACCGATATTCTGAAAACCCTTGATAGTAGTTAATTAGTCGCATTTATAAGCGTATAGTTGTAAATTTGTAAATCGTAATTAGTTAAACATCAGTATTGGATAAATGTTTTTATATGGATGTAAAATTCCATCGCGTAGTTGACACGCATTCTGCTGCGTGACGAATTACAAATGCGAGCAATGTAATCACAAAAACCATAATGTTAGAATCACGACCGAGTGCCGGTTCAATGGTTTCACATGGCCCTGACCTGGTCTGTACTCACTGCCGTATTGGAATTGAACCATACCGTCTGCTTTACAGATCCGAGAACTTTGTATTCATTTAAATAGGAATTGATTTAAGTGCGCTTTAAACAATAGATAAAGAGAGTGTTCCAAGTTTCGTGTCTAATCTAGAGTAGATTGTCGTAATGTTATTAGTATGCGAGACGCAAATTTTCACCAGTATCACATATATGTGAAAGCTCACTAGCGCCCCCCTGTCATCGTCAAAAATATCACAAAATCCTCTTTGTACTGTAATTATCATGTCTTTGTTTTCTTCTATGTCATTGTCTATATCCAAGTAGGTTTTATATCCTTGTTTGAGTATAATCTGTAATGACCTGAACGCGCCAGTGTATCCTTGTCGGAAGGAGTGTGCTGGCGCGGCGCGTGCCAGCAGGCGCGGCGTGAGCGCCAACGCGGCAGCCGCGCAGCATAGGTTGCTGTCACCAACTTCGCCCACCTCAACACTCCATCTAACAAAAACAAACATACATAAAGAAAAATACATAAGGTTTTCACTGCCGTGGATTTTTCAATAAAAGACAATAAATTTTTGCAAATGCGGAATCTTTCCCGCAACTTTGATGAAATAGGATCTAAAAAAAACTTAATTAGTGGCTTATGTGTTCTTCCAGACTATGTTCTACATCCATACTTAACTTCATCGAGATCTGTTGAGCCTTTCTGGAGATACCTTCTAACAAACCTCCATCTATCCATCTAAACATTCGCATTTATAATGCCGCCTATCTTCGTACGTAGTTCGCAATGTAGGAGACTCACCTGGCAGCAAACTCTTCATCAGTTTCATTGTCTACTTGTTTGTCAGGTGCGAGATCCTCAGTGGACTCGGCAGCGATTCTGGAGGCTGTCGCGGGTGTGGCCGACCCTTCTAGTGTGGTGTCCCCCAGGAAACGTGGCCTTGAACTTAATTCCTGTATAATATAATAGCTTTAGATTAAACTAGCTGTCGCCCGCGACTCCGTCCACGTGGATGTAAAAAAACTTAATTAGTGTAGCCAATGTGTTCTTTCAGACTATGTTCTATACGTATGCCAAATTTAATCGAGATCCGTTCAGCTGTTCTAGAGATATGTTCAAGCACCCATCCATCCACATCACATCCATCTATACATTCGCATTTATAATGTTAGTAAGTTAAAAAAAATCGAAAAAAATAATAATAAATAGTATCCTATGTCCGTCTCCTACCTCCTCACCAATTTTCAGGCATATCGGTAAAGCTGTTCTTGAGTTATAAATATTGTAACTAACACGAATTTTTTTTATATATGTAAAGATGATATCAATTATTTAGAGATAACTTTATTTGGATTACAAAAATTAAGGATAAGATGAGAAATTCATCAGAATTTATTAACTCAAAGACATAAGGAAAGATGGACCGTTTTATCATTGTTATAATCTTGATAACGTGTGTTTTTTTGTGAATGCTTCTAAAATTTATAGTAATTGTAAAATTATATTACAATGCGGGTATTGATGAGTTACTTGACAACGTATAACAATGTGTGGAGACCCTAGAGTGAAATTTTTATGCAAATATACGTCGTGTTATATTTAAACAACTGTGCCGTTCTGACATGGTTTCGTAGTACCGAGCATGGGAACGAAGCGGTTTATTTGTTCGTTCTTATACAATAAACAGTAGGTATAGCTCTCGACTACTTTGTTATCAGTGGTATAGTGAAGTACAGAAACACTAAATATCAATCTGACGGTAAATTAAATTATGTATACTGCTATTCACACTTTTTAGTAGCTCGTTATGTCGCATAAAATGATGCACATAATTTTAAGTAACGATAGGTAATAAAGGAATTCGAGGGTGGAATACATTCCATGTTTTCCTCTACCCACAGTGGGTTTTAACCCTCGTCATTAATTAGAGCTACCATAAAGTTTGACTCTTGAAGTAGCTAGTCGTGGAAGCGGCAGTGTTCGGTACATTACGTCACGTAACGCTGCACAATGTTGCAAAAACGCGAGCTAATATTTCCGCGGTGTTTGATGCCAATAAATATTGTAGCCACTTCTACTGCCGGCAAACAATATTACAACTTTTTAAACTTTTCATTTCCGCTGGCGGCGCGTTTGACAGCGCACGCGACCGAAAAAAAAAATACTTGCCAGGTATTGTAAAGAATTATTTTATGCTTGTATGCATATCAAACAATCCGACGAAACAACTATTGGAATGATTACAAAAACAGTTTAATCGTTTTGGTTACAATAGTTCACATTGAACAAAACATATAAAAGAAAGTCGTGTTACACTATTTATAACTCAAGAACGGCTTCACCGATATGGCTGAAAATTGGTGAAGAGGTAGCTTATAGCCGGGAGACGGACCTAGGATACTATTATTTTTCGAATTTATGCCTTAAAGAGCTCATTTTTATTTAACTTACTAATATTATAAATGCGAATGTTTAGATGGATGTGATGTGGATGGATGGGCTACACTAATTAAGTTTTTTTTTATATCCACGCAGAAGGAGTCGCTGGCGACAGCTAGTGTCTTGCTAAAATAAATGCGAAAGTTTGGATGTATGGATGGATGGGTGAGTGGAGGTTTGTCAGAAGGTATCTACAGTACGGTTAAAAGGAACTCGACGAAATCAAAAATTTAATTTAATCCCGCGTGGACGTAGTCGGTAGCGATGGGTAGTTATTAAATAAGTTCCTCGATAAGGAATCAAAAACTATTGGTATAACAGTTATGTTACCGTTAAATAACAGTTTATCAAAATAAAAACCGATTAACTTTTATATATCTACATTGATTTTATAAAGATTTGATCGTAATCGTAAAGGTGGTATACCGATTTTATTCGTTCTTCCATAATTAGAAAGTAACGTTGTCCAGAAGTAACTTACAGGCTATAATTTTTAAAATTAACGTGTTATAAAGTAACTCAACCGTGCAATCACGGCTAAAAGAAATCATAAGTATCTTAACAATAAATGGAAAGAAAAAGTAAAGAAAAAATATGTGTAAAATGTAAAAGTGAATGGAGAGTGTTTAGCGAAAGTAACATAATATTAACCAAAGACAAAATGTCACCTAAATAATTAAATAATTTCACTTCTAAAAAAAACTAGTGTGCTAGATTAATGAAATGCATTCAGGACACATAGACGAAAAATATATTTTAAAATAGCTTTCGCGTTCGCATATTTTTTTTTAATTCTTCGCAACTCCGTCCGCGCGGAATAAAAAAAAATTATATAGTCTATGTGTCCTTCCAAACTATATTCGATAGAGTCGGTGGCTCAGTAAGTACTTGACTTGCAATATGCAGGTCCTGGGTTCGAATCACGCCATGTACCATTTTGTTTTTCGATTTCCGATTTACATTTATCCGACGTTCTTACGTTGAAGGAAAACATCGGGATCAACCTGCACATATCTGAGAACAAATTCAAAGATATGTGTGAAGTCAACCCGCACATGGCCAGCGTGGTTGACTACGGCCTAATCACCCCTAACTTAGGGTAGGCTCCGAGCCCCTCGGTGCTGATGCTGATATTCGATATATGAAAAATTCATCAAGATTCATTGAGCCGTTCCGAAGATAAAGAGTGCGAGTATGTTAAATGAAAATTTATAATCTCTGCTTAACTCTTAACGCTACAGACTTGAATATACTAATATTACGATATCATATGAGGAACAATATGTCTGCAAATATAAACAATGGAGACTTTTCAAGGTCGTTGAAATCTTTATCAAAGAAATCTAAAGAAGCATACGAATTCGTGACTTACTTATTTGTGGCACTCAAACTATTTGACATTCACGTTGACTAATTTAAGAAGCTGTGATGAAATAGTCTGAAACTAACAGTCGCCTGCGACTTTGTCAGCGCAGATTTAAGAAAAAGTACCTTGTAACATGCGCATGCGTTAGCAACTTTCCAGGCAAATTCCCATGCGAAATATGATTTTTTTTCGATACTGCATGCAGACACGGCATTTTTATTATATGTATACATATGTTATAAATGACGTAATTATACAAACAGTAAGACGAGTTATATATCGTCAGATAGTACAAGGATATTTAAACGAATATCATAATTTTTCTTCACAATATTTTGTAAAAAAAGTTTTTGAGCTGAATTACTATAAACTATGAGAATTAATAAATCTTTATCGTCAATATTGAATAGTTGCTATGTCTAGTATAGACTAAAATATATAATTTAAAAACAGTTAACTTTTTGGCGCGAACGTGACTAGGCGGCGGCCATTTTGAGTTGTGTTTGCGCAAGTGGCGACGGGATGATGTTCAATATTACATTACAATAGACGTGACTGTAATGTGATGGTAACATTTAAGGTTGCCAGAGACACTATGACCTTCTTTGACACGTGTCTATAATTTTTTAGGGATACGCAACATCAGCACTTATTCATTTCACCATAGACAAAATGAACATTTTTTAGTTCCAGATATAGATTAAAAGGGAGAGAAAGAATTCGCAAAAAGGTTAATTTAGTGTGTTACCGAATTTAAAGGTAATAAATTTTTAAACAACTCACATGTGGCCGCATCCAGAGTAGATCGGGTGGTGACCGTCGGCAACCAATGGAGCTGATGTCCGCCGGGAAGTCAGGGTCCTCCCACAGCGCGCCTTCTCTACCATTACCTTCTTTCTCCCACCGCCTGCAGGAAGAAAATACCTCTTAGCAATATTTTACTTATCTAAGACATTTGTAACAACTTACATCAAACATTGCATTGACGTACGCTTCGTACGGAAATAAGATGACCAAAAAAAGGTAATGCAAAGCGCCTGGATTTAGATCTAAATATTTATAGTGTTGTTTATATCATAACCACCTACTTTCAAGCATGTTTGTGAGATTTTTTAGTACATGTTAACACACAAGAAAGAGTCAGTTATATATTTTATCTCTGTTACTCTCCTTCGTCGATTAAAGGTAGGCAACACATATGCAATTGCGTATGTCTATGGGCAACGGTCACTTCGCTATTTCTGCGATTTCAGGTGGCCGCTCGCTCGTTTGCCACCTTATGATATAAAAAAAATAATAATCATAAGATATACAAAAGTAAGGAATCACCATATTTCATTTGCTAAACGTCTCAAAAGAGTTAATTTGCTATCATAACATGCCTAACCTTCGACATTGATAGCTTTGGATTTCAGTTATGTTAGTCTTTGACCATTCCTTTTGTGGACGCGTCGCGACAGTGACCAACGGAGCGTGAAATGTCGCACAAACTATTGTCACGGACAATGACGTCATCCAGACAAAACCTTGAATTCATCCTCGTATACATAACTACTTTACGAGTTCCTCGTTCTAATTCAAGAGACTAAGAGATAATATTTTTGATTGCAGGAACAAGAAGGAAATGTCTTTTATGCATTTAGCCTTTTGTTATCAAAATTGTTAGATTTTTGAGAAATGAGTCGTTATATTCACATTTTTCCTAGGAGTGTCTTATCCTTTCTTGTTTTGGTTGGCCATTCTTCCAACTTAAATCGTTCATATTATTCTACGTATAAAGCCATAGCTTCAAGTAAATTCATACAAATATCGTCAGAGCTAAAATTATCCTATTCGCTTCATTTTGTATTCGCAACTGACAAATGTTACAGTATTGTCGTCGCGACTGACGCTCATCGAACCAGGACGCGTGCGCGATCCTTTTTTGTCACGTTTGTCAATGGATACAGCGTGATAAGGCGCCAACGTGTTGAGACAGCGTGACATAACGTTTTAGAGTTCGCAACTCAAGAGCCTTTAATAGGGAACGGCTCGTACTAGGGCTATTTCGTTAACTTTATCATCAAAGGTGTTAAGATATCTTCGTTTTGCGACGTCAGCGTGTCACGGCAATAGAATATGTCGTCTTATAATGTTAAATCTTGGGTAGACATGCAGTCTCAGTTCACTATCCTTGCGTCTTCCATTATCTATTGTTTAAAGCGACAACTTTTTGCAACAAGCAGTATGTATGTAAGATTAATATTTTCGCTTTGTTTTTGTCAAATAGTTCAATAATAGTTTTTTAAGCAGTTATCGCGTATCAGTAATTATTTACGACATCTTTTAGATTTTAAGCTGTCGGGTTTAAGACTTTTACTAACTAAATTTCTTGTAAATATTGCACAGAAATAGTATGCTAGGGATATTATTACCGTAATTTAATACAGATATGTAAATAAATACATCTACGGATACGCTTTACGCAATACGATTTGCTTTGGATCAAATGTTTAATAAAATTATGTCAGAAATATGACCGCATTCAAGTATAGTACCATCCAAACCTTATCGCGGCTCGCAATTTCACATGACATGTACGATGGTGAATCGCTAAAAATTTTTTTGGCAAAAAAAAAATTATGACTTTATAACGATAGCTACTCTTATTGTATATCACCTCTATTTATAGCATTACTAGCTGTCGCCCGCAACTTCGCTCGCGCTGAGAAAAAAAATTAATAAATAGCCTATGTGTCCTTACAGACTATGTTCTACATCTATGTCAAAATTCGCGATCCATGCATCCAAACATTCGCATTTATAAATCCGCCATATGTGGAATTTGTTCCGTTTACTTTAGGTATTTGCGTAACAATGTGTAGTTACGAGCTACTATAAAGTTTGCATACCGATCATTTCTAATAGTACAATATTGTACAATTGCACAAGTTGTACAAAGATCCCGTGAAGCCTGTGTTCACACGATCTGTCAGGCGCAACGGTCTTTCGTAAGCCAAACCAACATAACTTGATCGCTTCCTCCGTTAGTAATAGATATATGGAATGGGTCTAATAAAATGGCTCCCAAGACCTTTCCCCAATACTAAAGCTATCCTCATCGGTAATTGGCCTACAAACGATACATTTATTTGGTTTTGTGACGTAAATTAAAATGGTTACACATGTTCATAGTTTAAAAATGGAAAACAGGCAATAGTAGAATAGTTGGACAATCCAACTGCAAGTATTAGATTCGGCTGAACTGAGAAGGGTTTTTATATCATAATGTAGCAAAGTACAATCGGCCAATTGAATTCGCCGAAATAGCGTAGCGACCGTTGCCAATAGACATCCGCAAGCGGATGCGTTACTTACTTCCTTTCGGCGTCATCTTTCCATCGAATCCACTTCCCTTCCTCATTATTTTCTTTTAAGAAAAGGGATGGAATGGGAAATTTAGGTAGTGTATTACGTTTAGTTTGAACTTTGTAAGTAATGATTATTGTCGTGAGATGTAGAGGTGTTGTTAAGATAATGGACAAACCTTGGTAGCGTGGAGTGATTGTGAAGCCCCGCGGTTGCCACGCCATCTGGAAACAACACAGTATTTGAAATACACCAAAATGGACAAATTATCAGCATAATATGTTTTATTAGACGCATCATCAACCTTTCATGTTTAAAATACATAAGAAAGTCGTTCTAAAACAACAAGCAATGTTCCTAATGAGGAGAAACGACAAAGGAAACTGCATTCGGACAACAGAAAACTAATTTGTAAGCGAACCGACCGCGAAAACCGCACGGCCTAAACACAACGTTAAACATCGATTTCTATATGCAGATATAAGCTTTTCTAAGTGATATCTTTTATAGTCAGTAACATACAAGATCAGTATTGAATACTGAAACTTCCAATTATTTTCTACCGTTATGTTTATTTACAGCTCTGACCTTCTGCTGCGCTTCTGCCCGCGACCGCCTATGTATTCTTCCGGACTATGTTTTACATCTGAGGCAAGTATCATTAAGATCTGTTGAGTCCTGGAAATACCTTCCAACGTCTATCCATCAATCTAAACTTTTGCATTTATAATATTAGTAAGATTTTTTCCTTTAGTTTTCAGACTATTACTGTTCAAACGTCGTTAACTTTTCAGTCATTCCTCTGATTCTTTTTGAGAGAAAAGAAACACATAAAAATAAACTTTTGTTGTTAAAACGATAACTCAAATCAAATAACATGGTATTATATAAACTGTCCTCTGAGAACATTCTTTGCAGTCCCAACTATTAAAAACGTCTCTGGTTTTCATAATATGACGGTTCGTTTGACAGGGAGCAATATGCGCGTGCGCAGCAGTGAAAGTCCCCCCGGCGCGCTCCGATGCGCCGACCGTTATCTTTGATTGACGCGCCAACAGCGACCCCGACAGCCGGCTTACTTACCTACTATAACAGGTGCATAAAAGCCTTCATAGTTTAGAACTAGATATAAGAAATCAATATACGATCCTTGAAATTGATCCATAAATAATTTGATTCTTACGTCTTACTAATATTATAAATGCGAATGTTTAGATGTATGGGTGGATGTTTGAAAGTATCCCCGGAACGGCTGCATGGATTTGGCACAGATTTATAGTCTGGAAGAACACATAGGCTACTCATTTTTTTTTTAAATTCCCCGGGGACGGAGTCGCGGACAACAACTAGTACTTAATAAATCAGAGTATCAACAGAAAATATTCTCTCGCACCCAAACAAATCTTGTTTTATTTTTGCTATTGCGATCTTTTTATCGGCTAAAATTTAATAAAAATTGTAATTCAAAAAGATGAACATAAATAATTAAAGATCGAATATTGATTTCGTCAGATATTAACGGTTAAACGCTGCATCTCAAATTTGATGCCAAACAAAAAATGCCTGGTCAATGACACCAGTGTCTGATATTATAATACTAAACAAATATTATTAATTTGTACTGGTTGAAGAAATTGAGGATACTCTCATGTTTTTGAAGCTTTGTGGTTTAAAATTTCTTCTATAATATATGAGTGATTTAGAAAGCACAAATTACTATATATCAAATAAACGATGTGCAAATGAAATCAATTAAATCAAGAGTGCAGACATGAAATCGAGTTCAGTGAACCAGGCTATGTTGTCGCGAGAAAATGTATGAACGTGACATATAGTGCCAACGTATGACAAAAGTTTGCCTTAGAAATATTCTTAACATGAGTTTACACTGGTCAATGGAACAACTTTTACAAAATTACTGTCTGTCGCCCGCGACTCCGTCCGCGCAGGATTAAAAATAGATGTTAGCCGATTCTCAGACCTACTCAATATGCTCACAAAATTTCATGAGCATCGTTCAAGCCGTTTCGGAGGAGTAAGGGAACGAAAATTGTGACACGAGAATTTTATATATAAGATTATGCCATGTGATAATTAGTCAATCAAAGAGCTTAAGACAACATTTCTAGGGAGTTTCTGATACCAAAATCCCCGTTTAAAATACATTGTTTGTTTTTTGCAAAGATAACGACAGGCATGAGGTATGTTTTATATGAAGATTTCTAGTTCAGAAACCTAAATCTATTACTATTATTTTAAGAACAAAAGGTTATGATTTACAGATTATAACTGACCTTATAGTTATCTCCGGTTTTTAAACATGTGTTTAGGCAGTGGAAATCCACGGTTACTGTGGTAACAGGCAAGTATTGTACGTTTAACGCCGTCCTTGACACGAGGGCACTTACAATTCACATTTATGTTTTGCGCTTTTGCACATTGCATTAGCGAATGCATTGTAACTTCAACATACTTGTGTCAGTTATATGTAAGTTAGGCAGAGTTTATAATTTTAATGTTTACTCATAACATGGTAAAGAATTCGTAAAAGGATCTTCAGCAAACTTCATAAAAGAACTGTGGAAGTAACGTAGCAAGTATTAATTTCTAAAAATAGATTATATCCGTAGATTTACGTCTAGTAAATATTAAGTAATCATTCTTAACTTAGGGTAGGCTCAGTGCCCCTCGGTGGGGACGTATAGTGAGCTGATGATGATGATGATGATGAAATATTCAATTGAAAGTACCTTATTCAAATTTTAGGACTGTTAAATTATAACTGTCATATCAATCATGGAGATCCTCATACTCTTATCGTCATCATCAGGGCTCGGAGCCAAAGTCAGGGGAGACTAAGCCACAGTTAATCACGCTGGCCCTATGCGAGTTGACTTCACACATATCTTTGAATTTCTCACAGGTATGTGCAGTTTGCATCACGATGTTTTCTTTCACCTTACGAACTTCAGATAAATGTACATTATGTAAATCGATCATCGAAAAACAAAATGGTACATGTTGAGTTTCGAACCCATGACCTGCAGATTGCAAATCAAGTGCTTAACCACCGATGCTCTATGCACATTTGTAATCATATTAGTTTATCGCCTACAAAATAGTATTTCTCGTACACAAAATGTAGGTAATATGTTTCCATGTGACATTAAAATTTAAAAAAAACCTTGAATAGTTGATTGTTTGTTGTTCTCATTCACACGTTTAACAACAATGACGATGTGTTTCTTTACATTTACGAATAGCACAAATGAAACGAATTTAACGGAATTTATTGTAAATATGAGTTCAACTTCCACACTAAGAGTAAGGGCCAAGGGGAGCCCGTAAGTACAGATTTGTGTGGGTAATGTACACTAAGGAACTGTTTAAATTACTATTCAATGATTGAATGTAGCAATAAGTCGCCTAGTTTTTATTAATCGGAATTTGTTGTTGTGAATGTGTACTAAATAGTCTATGATTCTTGTTAAATGTAGGTTATCCGCGTATGGTTTACCGTAATTTCTTACGTACTGAGGTGTCCATTTGAAGTATGTTGTGCAGTTGGGCCCGCGGGACGCGTTCGTACGAATTTCTTCATTCCTAGATTTAAAACTAAGACACCGCGTCCAAAAACACACAAATTACATTCACACAACACTAAGAAATTATATTTATAAAGAATTTATGATTTAAAATTCATCACTAATCTTCACCAAATTCAAAAACTTTATTACTAAATCATGTTTACAATTTATTCAAAATATCAACTTTTTTTATATTGTTGGAAAAACTTTACTAACACAAAATCTTTGAAATATCATTTTTTTACGGAAACGCTTATAATAGTATAGTTTACACCATTATAATTAGAACAGTATTCGTAATTATAAAAATCCCAGCGCAACAGATGTCCTACCTCACGACCGTTCGCGCCGCAACTGAATTAGCGGTGCGCGGGGTCTGCGCGGGCGCAGAAATGGCGCGAAACAGTTAGCTGCGGTTGTATTTCTGCTCCACTTGCGACTTAGAACACCTTAAGACTTATTAGCTTCTGGTCTATGCACAACCTAATTATAAAAGCTCATTTAATGTTAATTTGTTTTGAAACTCGATTTACTTTCTGTCAAAGTAAGGTTATTTTTAAAAGTTCCCACAAAACTCAGGGTTGCCAGCTCTTTTTTAGGCTAATAAAGATTTTTTTTTTAATTTTACCCGATTTAACCTTACGCGTTTTTTTAATGTTGGATAGGTAATTACAATAAAAGTGAGGTTTAATATTGAAATAATAAATCGACCACAAATATTAACATTTATTACGGCTTAAGAGCCCCACTAACATCTAAATACGATCCATACATATCTTGTTATTACGTCTGCTCCCACCCACCACATCCCATAGAAATACATACAAAGGAATTATTCATTTTTCAGCTACATACACATTTAAAGTTTGATTTAAAAGGAATGCGTATAAAACATCGAGATAATAGCTAAATAAAAATAATTTTGTTCTATGTAAAGCCATGTCATGGAAAATTGTCTATTATAGCCTTTATTACTATGTCTTCGCATAAAATATATCATAGCATATATAAAATTGGAATTAATTAAATTATTAAAAATAGATATTGTCCAAAATTACATACATATATCACAAAGATGACAAACATTAAAATCATCCACCGAAGAAAATCACCAAATCTATGATTTTTTTTCTCAGCTATGGCGTCCTAACATCTTTATTTACTATTAAATAACATAACTCTGTATAAACTTATAATTCAATATACATAATATACAGCATATAAACAAATATATCAAGGCACACAACATTTGAATAAAAAATTATAATATTTACAAAAAAAAAACTTAAAATTTACATAACAAGCAAACAAACAAACAGTATTTTCTGCTGCTTTACCAAGTTCCATCAGCGCATAAATTTCGAAAACATACAAACGTCAAAATATAGACATGGCGGCCACTTCCTTCGTTGGCCAATATGGCCACGTATATCAGCTTCCAATTTAAGTCACGTCAAAATCTGTCCAGCCAGAGATTATCCGGAACAAACGCAATCTTGCAAACACACAAAAATGTGTTTATGAGTTTTTTTAGGCATATTTTGAAATTCAAAGCGTTTTATCTTTATTACAGTATTAGTTTACAATATCTATGCTTATGTTCGGAACAAAGTAACATTTATTTTGGACTTACTACTTTTTTTCCTAATTCAAGAACATATTAATTTACTTTAGAAAGATTTAAAGTACACATTTATTAATATTACGGTCGTATTATTTTAAAAATTGAAAAATTGGAAAGTATTATATTGCTGTCAGAGCACAAGATAGAGCGAACTGGCGGCGCACTGAGGACTCTCCGCCCCACTACTATACTACCCACTATAGGACTTTAAGTCAAGTCCATATTGCCTGGCGAAGTATTTTGAAGATTTAAATCTTTGGAAAATAGAATCTACTTAAAACTAAATACAATGTACATCCATTTATTATATTCTAAAATATTACCAAAAAAAATTATAAAAGGGTAAATATTTAGAGGGTATTTACAACTATTACGGGAAAGTACAGTCGGAGGGAAAAACATTTAACAATTTTCAAATTACATACAAAACTGATTCAAGATTTTTAGCGAAACTCCACCTTTCTCACATCCGTTTACCTAACATTTTATGCAAAAACTCATGCATTGTTAGAAGCCGCAATCATATTTGCAAACTACAAGATTTTTTAAATGTGACAAACGCTTTTTACCTCGACTGTACATTAAACAAGTTATACTGACTGCATATCGATTGCCGAAACACTTGAAACATTAGTTATCCCTTTTATTGTCTTTAAAAAAATAGAGATAACAGTATGTTTGTTACTACTATGGTTAAATAGACAAAGATATATAATTTTTTATCTCAAAGACGATAAGACAGGCGGAAGAGATTCGAAACTACGACATTTATAAGGAGTTTGACACCGTTTTAACTACTTATGCTAAAACTAACACATACATATTGGGGTTTGAGGGTCGGCGGAATGTAAATGAAAATCACAAGACAACGCTACGATGCGATACTTTGCTATGCTATCACAAGATTTGGCTGTGCTACGAGACAGCTGTGACAGAAGACAGCAGTGCTACGCGACAGCTGTGACACAAGACAGCAATGCTACGCGACAGCTGTGATACAAGACAGCAGTGCTACGCGACAGCTGTGACACAAGACAGCAGTGCTACGCGACAGCTGTGACACAAGACAGCAGTGCTACGCGACTGCTGTGACACAAGACATATGTGCTACGAGTCCTAACACTGCAGTGCTACGACTCATGTGATATAAGACATCTGTGCTACGAGACAGCAGTGCTACGAGACATCGCTGCGTTCCAAACTTGTGCTACGGCTCTATTAAGAAACATTCACAGTGTTACTGCGATGGAGATAAGGGCGATTGTATACATTACAATTGTGCGATAAAGGGGAACGCAATCGCAAGTGCAATACTAAACACTGTGTATAAATATTTTACACGTAAAAATCCTGCAACGGCAATAATATGAGGGTTTCTCAAGGCAAGTCCCCTGTCCTGTGAACGATGTCACTTCTAGTCTGCCAAGTCAGGGTTGTCGCGCAGGAAGGACTCTTCGCTGTTGTACTCAGGCTGGCGACGCGCCCTGCGGCGGTCGCCGGGACGCGGCAGGGGGTCCTCGTCGTCGGGCTCCGGCACTGGGTCGGGGGCACGAGGAGCGCACGCCGCCGCCTCGCCCTCCGACTCCGAGCTGGAGTCCGAGGGTTGCGTGTCCGCCTCGCAGCACGACCGCTCGCCGTCCTGCAAGTATAACATTTCTGTGAGCGCACGTTTGGTAGAATGGGCAAAGGTATTTTAAAACGAATCGAGAGCCCACCTGGTGGGATCCCTGAGCGCGTTGGCTCTCGGGCAGCAGGTGGTAGGAGCAAGAGGGGCGCGGGATGGGCGGGGCGGGCGCGCGCATGCCGTGGTAGTGCGAGTGC